CATTTTGGGGTGGGGGTAGGAGGCTGTGGCACAGAGCTTTGCTCAAAGAATTTAAAAAGAAAACTTTCTTTGAAAGAAAAATTAAAACAAATCAGTCAGGGCTGGCAAGATGGGTCAGGAGTTAACAACTCATACTCTAATTGCAGAAGGCTCAAGTTTGATTCCCAGCACCCATATTGATGGCTTACAACTGTCTGTAACTCCAGCTTCACAGAACCTGATGCCTCAGGCCTCAGGCCTCAGGCCTCAGGCCTCAGGCCTCAGGCACTGAACTGAGTGCACAACCCACTCTCCTCCCCTACATATATACATGATTTAAAAATAAGAATAAAAACAGAAAACCAAAACAAACAAACAAATAATCTGTTACGGTAGCACAGACCTAACATCCTTAGTACCCCAAAGTCCAAGACAGGAGGTTTAGGGTTAGGCTTAGGGCCAGATTTTGGGTGACACAGTGGGACACTGCTTAAAATAAAACCTAAAGGAACATTAAAAACTAAACTCGGCTTGTCTGCTACGTAGTTGTGCTCTCAGTTATGTTCAGGGAGTGACAGTGATCTCTGGAACTCCCAGTAACCACAGTTTAGCATAGGGTTGAACTTGAGTATCCAAGCATGAAGAAATAATGATTCGTTGGGAATTTGGGGGAATTACTGACCCTGAGAGAATCTTCATAAGTCTAAAATCAGGCAACCCTATTCTTTAAAAACATTAGCATGTCTCCACAGAAACAGCTTGCAGGCTGGCTAAGTGACAACCACTCCTTGTGCCCACACCTGGAGCCCTGCTTTACCACCTGCTAGCTGTGTGAGCTTGGGCAAGTGAGTCAACCTTCCTGTGTCTTAACTTCTTTATCAGCAAGGATGGGAATAAATTACAGACCTGGTGTCATAATTAACATAGGAAAAGAAGTGACTGAGCTAGAAAAAAAAATGATAAAACTCAAGCGGGTCACCACCACCTGTCCAGGACATACTGTCAACATTGGATGGCCTGCTGCAAAGACAGCTTCCTGAGCCAAACTGGAATCCAGACACACCTCCTTTGAAAGTTACTTCTTAAATGTAGAGATCTTCAGATCTAATTTGTGTTCCCAGGTTCCAACAAACATTGAGAAATAAATTACCAAAACGATGGAGTGAATACTGAAAATTCTGTTCATCTGGGCCTCAGTGCAGCAAGGGCATTCAAGCAAGTTTTTTACTCTGTGCTTGAGAGCCACAGAAAGGAGGTTACTGTGGCACAGACTATCCAGGATGAATGAAAGGGGTTCAGACCTTTCATCAACAAAGAAACAAAAACATAGCAAATTGCAACTAACTTTTTGCACAGCTAACAGGCTTGTGTCTCTCCACAGACATACCCACTTGATTTTTCTCTTGGTTAGGTCTCCAGTATCATTCTTAGTTTAAGATTTTCAGCTATACTGAATACTAAAAATAAAAAATTGCATTTCAACTCTGACCATAAACAGATGAGAATTTAGCAGGACCTGGTCTTATTGCCTATTCCCATCCCATCAGGAGTTAGTTATACTTTGTGGGCCAGGGTTTTTCAGGCCAGAACACTTTCTCATGAGGTGATCTGTAGTCAGAAGTAGCCTGTCTGAAGGGGAAAAAAAAATGTTTCTTCTACTCTCCCAGTCACCCATGGGCAGGTCCAGTCTGGGCATCACACAGTCACACCCAGGAACTGTAAACTATTTTAACAACAGGACGTTTTTCCCACCTCAAAAGTGGGATCACCTTCAGCCTACCGATGTCCCAAGGGTGTTCCAAGTATCAACAAGTTCACATTAGTCAGGCACTTTGATTTCTACAGACAAAAGGCTCTGTGCAACTACAAAGAATGATTATCCAACCCAACGACCTTTGTGGAGTACCCGCGATGACAAGGGGGGAGGCAAATGGGTTACGGGTTCCTACTGTTGCCCTCCCAGAAGCTGAGCTCCCCACTACTCACCAGCTCAAGGCAAGGCCAGCCAAGTGGAAGCCATGCTGTGTCCTGAACTCTTCCCTTATATAGGCAATGAAGAGGGAATCCCTCTGTGTGCATATTTTCAGTTCACATTCCCAAACATTATAGGCAAACACACAGATTTCAGCTGTGATTTACAGAACTGCCTCTGCCAGGGCCAGTCACCAGGTTAAGATCATGTACATCCCTGTTATAGGATAAGTCTCAGTGAGGGTGGATCTTTGGGAACCCTGCCTCCTTTTCTACAGAAGGGGCCAGGTATACCTATGCCCAAAAAATGCCCACAGGTAACCAGGCCAACACCACTTGAAAACTGAGAGAATAAAATGAAATAAAGAAAAATGTAAGCTGGCTTGTTTTAAATCTATATTAAATCTAGGTTTGGGACTTTCCCTTGGACTCTGGAGTGCTTGCAAGAATGTAACAATCTTTAAGACTGTGGAAAATATTATATGATTGCAGAGACTAGTATATATAGCATAATCTCTCTCTCTCTCTCTCTCTCTCACTCTCTCTCTCTCACACACACACACACACACACACACTTCATTTGGCTGTGTTAGGGATTCTACTCTGAGCCTTACGTATGCTAGGCAAGTGCTCAACTATTTCCAGCCCTAAAAGGAATTTTTGACAGACACAGAGGCCCTAGTAGACCTTTTGTTTCACAGCATGTGACAGACAGCCTTTAGGGAGGAGCCAAAGCTTGGCTGGCATTAAACTCCATTCTTCACTAGCCACAGACACTCAGAGTTGAGATCTAACCCACAAAGCAGCATGGATGATGACAGCTGGAGGAAGAATGTACATGAGGCCCTGGGTTCAATCCCCAGTACCAGAAAGAGTACGCAAATACCTGATAAATAAATAAATATGTTTGCCTTTGCCACATTTGTAACAGCTATTCATTATCACTATGGGATTCCTATTTTTTTTCTCAATTTTTGAGACAGAGTTTGTCTGTGTAGCCCGTGCTGTCCTGGAACTCACTATATAGACCAGGCTGGCCTTGAACTCAGAAATCCGCCTGCCTCTGCCTCCCAAGTGCTGGGATTAAAAGCGTTCGCCACCACTGCCCGGCTTGGGATTCCTATTAAAGTGAGCCACAACACACTATAGATAGGCGCTGAAGCAGGCATCTATACCTTCCAAACCACTGAACAAGTAATCCTGAGAAACTATCCATCCACAGCAATAAACTCATTCTTATTACAAAGCCTGGTAAAAGTATCAGAAGAAAATTTAAAAGATAGACAGAAATAAAGATAGAAAGAAGGAAATAAATAAATAAATAAATGAAGGAGGGAGGGAGGGAGGGAGGGGAGGAAGGAAGGAAGGAAGGAAGGAAGAAAGAAAGAGAGAGAGAGAAAGAGAGAAAGAGAGAGAAAAAGAACAAGCTCTTGAGCCTAAAGGGTTAACTCAGTTGTCTTTAAAAAAAAAAAAAAGGACATGTATAATTTCCTTTTATCCTAAAACAATGCATTTATTATTTTCTGTGTATCTGGTAAAGGGCATGGCTCTCAGAGTGGAAAACAAAACAGACGTTGGTCACATGTTTATTTGCCTCACCTCCTCCCTTCCCTTCTGATAAATAATCAAACATGCCATCCAGAAAAAACAAAATCATCGAGCTGGGAAATTTGATGGTCATCAAGCAGGCTGAGATAGCAAGCCGAGCGACCCACGGTTCCCACAACTGCTGCTCGGCCCCCACACCTACTCTAACATCTGAGTAAATAGCCCCACTCACTCTTTCCATCGTCCCCACAATTACTCCTACTGTTAAACAAATTGTCCTTAAGGCAGTCACAAACAGCACTCCCCCCCCAATCCCCCTGCAAAGCAGAACAACTTCTGGACATTAAAAACAGCCATCTCAGCCACAGCAGTACACACAGAAACCGAGACTTGTTTATTTGTGTGGATGGATGTTTCTCCTATTAGAAGGTCTGGACAAGTATAAAAATTCTACTTCTTTCTCTAACCTAACAGATACTTTTGAAAACATTGGAGTTTATGGATATTTAGTCTGAGGACTAATCAAGTTCAGAATAATAGCAATTCTCTTAAGATCAAAAGAGCCAATTTTCTACTTCCTGTCTATTCCTTCATCAGTACATAGCTTTGAAACAAAACAAAACAAAATAGCACCTGGCTTGCCAATTATAGTGAAGCAGAAGAACAGGGGTAGAAGAGGTGGAGAGGGAGGGAAGATAGGCCAGAGGGTGGACCAGGGCAGGAAAAGGTGGAACCATTTTTAAAAAGCTCATACCATGTGTTTGAAAGTCACTTCTGAAGAGCCCAAGAGTAACATGGCTCTGCCAGCCCCGGTGCCAGAGCTTGCTACCACCCCAACTACCCACAGTGAAAACGGTCAGAAGAGGGTCCGATATCAAAGTTAACAACCATTGCTGGAAGCTCTCTCCCTTCGCAGCCTTCCCCGATTAAACAATAGTAATATGAATGAGATAATGACCGTGCGTGTTTCGGCAGTCTGACTTTTATTGGCATGAACTTGGTACAAATATTATCAAGACTGATTCGCCCATGATGACGGTGTCATGATGTCAACCCCCGAGGACAACTCTGCAGAGTGTCACAGGCACCGTCCCCACACTCTCTCAGAACTTCAGATAACATAACAGGAAGAAAAGAAGCAGGCGGCACATACAAGCACGCAGAGGGAAAGTTACGGTCTACATTCAGCCTGTGGAAGTGTCTGGCAACACTGGCTGATTCTTCCTGATCAGAGCCAAAGCCACATGTGAAATCAAGAGAGAATTATCAAGGAGTTAGCAGGATTCTGTCCTCTCAGATCTCTATGGTGGAAAGAAAAAAAAAAGGGAAGAAGAAGAAAATAAAGCTTAGATGGAGAGAGGAGGAGGAAGGAAACACAGTAAACAACTTGAAGCATCTCATTTTCCCCTTTACAGGATGTCTGCCCAAAGAAAGATCCTAGCTTAAAAGTTTATTTAGCCCATTGAAAATGCCCCCCCCCCGCCCGCCCTGGGCACACTTACAGAGAAAATGAAGAGTTTGACGGGGTGAGTCTGTACTGTCTGCCTTTGCAGTTCCGTCTTGCTGTGGATGAGCTCTGGCTGTTTCTGTGAAGCGGGGGTTTGCCGAGTGGTAAAAGAGATGTTTGAATAAACAGGAAGTGCTGAGCGCTGAAGCACACTCGAGGAGAGAGAACACACTGGAACACTGCCCTTTGTAGGCAACCTCGGGGAGGTTTGTCTCCACAGTAGCTGCCTGGGCTCTCACTCAATGACAAGGAAACCACAAGAATTCCTCAAGTAATTCTTCACTTTCAAAGCTGGAAGATCAGTTGGAGCTTGCAGGTAATTTTCAAAGTTGCACAGAGCACTTAAAGAAATCTATTAATGTTCAACGCACCTAAGGCACTCCAGGATAGCAAGCAGGGACACAGCACACACGGTGTGCCCTGTAGACCAAACCCTAGCCAAACACAGCTCCTGCAAGCACACAACAACAGGCCTTCAGGAAACCTGTTCTTGAGATATTTTTGTGGTGATATTTACATAGGCAGGATGGGGGGGGGAGAGGGGGGAAGGGAAGGGAGAGAGAGGGGGAGGATTTTGGTCATATTTATTTTTAAAGATCACATTATCCAGCATTCCAGGGGTGTGCACATCTGTCTGGTTTGATTGCCTTTCCTCTCTATTCACCTCCTCTGCTATCAGGGAAACTACCTGTGTACCACGCGACACCCACCTGCCCACTTCCTTACTCTGTCCTAACCTGATTATGGAGGTCCTGTCTTCACTCACCAGTAGAACCTGACAGGTACCATAAAAAAAAGTGAACCACAGGCGGTATAGCAGGTCAGCTTGAAAACTGAGAGGAAGAGTCGAACAGCCATATTCAGTTGGGAACAAGGAGAGAACGGAAGGCTTCCTTCCTAAAATGTACTGCTCTTGTGGCTGAGCTCCCCTGCCACAGAAGCATCTGATTTGTTATTAAGCATGGAACGCCGGCCTGCCTGTCAGGCAGGTGCTAATACTCGGCTAAAATAACTCATTGGGAGCTGTCAGTGAGGTGTTTACATAGGCCCCGATCTTTTCTTCATAGAAGGAAAAAAATTTTTTTTTCTTTACTGGAATTCATCTTCTTTTGATCTCACATTCAAAGCAATGGCAGGCTTGATAGACATTCAAGTCTGAAAGCAAATCCAGACGCTGAAGATAAACCGCCAGAATATGACAGGCAGAAGCATCTAAAGCTTACAAAAATGAAGAGAACAGCATGTCGCCCGAGTATTACAATAGCAGAAATCAAGAGACATATTAGGTGGAGCTGATCAGCCGCAAAAACAGTTCAAAAGGCAGATCACAGAAACGGGATGAGGGGAAGGGGGTGTGGGGTGGGGGAACGGGATCAATCTGGTTTTTCTGCCTCACCTCCCTCCTGAGCCTCCAAGTCTGCCTCTTCCCTGCATGAGGGTGGAGCGTCCAAAGCAGAGTTTCTTCTCTAACTGGGCTGGTCCATTTACAGAGGTTACAAAGGATTTGCTAACAATCTGCTTCAAGGGGCAGGGGAGAAAGGAAGGCACATGCCCAGGCTCCCCTGGGCTACACTGCACTGCCATGCTCTTTCTGTTCCCAGAAGTAGCAGAGGAAAGGACACAGCCTGGCCCAGGGGAGGTGGGCTGTCAGGAGGCTCCTATATGAACCAACCTGGGATGGGACTAACACTCTCCTCAGATGGCCAGGCACAACTGACTTCGAGCCCCACCTACAGTCATACGAACAGTTAGATTCCTTCACTCCCAGAGATATGTCACTGTTCCACCCCAGGAGCTGTGAAGCCATCTCAGCCAGTGTCTTAAAGGGATTATTGCAAGAACTTCTTCATGGGCATAAAAAATTTTAAAGAACTTTTTCTTATAGGCATACAATTTTTAAATGATATCTCTTGTTTAAATTAAAGTCAATACATATAACAGAAAAAGACATTCTCTGAACAGTTCTGAGCTTGAGTTGTTTATTAATAAACACTGCAAGGGAAATGGCAGAACCAGACAGACTAAAGAACATCAGAATTCTATACAATTTACCCTGTGGTTCTTTCAGAATTGTTACTTCTGGGACTGCAAAGTGAGATTCTCTTTTTCATAGGATGCCAGGATTTTTTAATTATTACTGCCTCCCTGTCTCCCTCCATCCACCCCCCTGCTGTCCATAGTAAGCTCACAATAAAACATGGATTTAAAAATGCACAACATAACTGTCTAAGTAATGAGTTTACAGTTTGCCTTGTATCAACAGGATTCCTGGATAACTGAGATAGAACCGTGGAGACAAACTACCAGGAGCAAGGCTGGTAGATTGTGATGCCCTCAGCAGTTAGAATAGCCACATAAGGTCTGCCTTTCAAATATGTGCTCAGTTTATTCATAAAAACATTCCATATGAAACTGTGCTATTATAAAGATTACGGTAGTCCCATCATCTCACCAAGCTGGATAGAGATCCTTGAGGAGGAAATGCTGGATGCAGGCTTTTGCTAGGGAATCCTGTATGGTGAGGGTGATTCAAGAGTATGCTCAGGTAGTTCCTTTAGCTATAGCCAGAAGGGTGACACTGTTGGAAGTTCGAGAAAGTCCTTGGGAGCATTGGCCAGCGGCTAGCACTGATACAGGGGTGTGTGAATTCAGCAATGGCACCCAACAGTCACACTGGGGCCAGTCTTAAAGTCCCTTTGCAATAGGGATAGGCGCAGAGTTTTAGGTGGCATGTCTTGCCAATACAATCCTGGGGGCCACTGTCCAGGTTCAGTTCGTAAACTCTTTGGGCATGTCAACACATGATATATCAGACTTTGCCATGTGTTTGAATTTGGGGTAAATATTTTGCATTTTGTAACATAAATATTTTTCTGTTTAGCTCACAGTCAAAACACAGTATACAGTCACACTGTTTGTAAATATTTTCCTACTTTTACAACAAGAATCCCCTTTAAGTCAAAACACGTTTATATTTATTTTGTCAAAACAAATTCTTCTTCGTTCAAAGCATGACATGTTGTCAACATAGTTTCCAGGTTACGCTTACATTCCCAACACAACAAGCAAGCAAACAAACAGCACATTCCATTCCAGAGTCTAAGCTGTTTTTCTCAGGTCACCTCTGCCCCATTCCATGGAATACCATATATTCAAGGCTGAACCTTTGCTTTAAATCACACCGGATCAAACGAGCCAGTCTCCTGTTAGTCCCTGACACTGGCAACAAAGGAATGAGGCAGTTGCTTTCAACATTGCTCCCCGAACTTCTCAACTTCGATATTCCACATGCCTGTAATATACCCCCAAACAAGGGAGGTTTACCATAAAAGTGAAATGCAATTTCCCTTGTAGATTAGAAAATAAATTTTTCCTCCACAAAGAATGCAATTGCCTCTACTTTGATGCAAGAAGTAACATTCCATTTCTTTGGACATTAAAGGTCTTTTTTTTTTTTTAAAAAAAAAAAAATCTGCCACGTGAGAAGGCCTTCATTAGTATAATTAAATGACTGTTGGGCTTTTTTGATGTAAACAACTTTTGAGATGTCATTTAAAAACCTCATAATAACACCATTAAAGAGCTACCATTTTTAACGGAGAGATTGTCTGCTCAGGGCCATGGAATGGTAGCCACGTTTCAGGCCCGTCCTTTCCCCTTTCCGACTTCTGCTGGACTTGAATGTCACCATAGACCTTGAATCTTTGAATGTGAAATGGCTTCACTAATTGCTTTAATTGCTTGAAGATGTGCAGGCAGGTGAAACCTGATCCCCGTGGCCATTGTGGAGACTAAGAACAACACTGGAATGTTTACATAGTGGTTTGATTTTAATAGACAGAAGGGCTGAGTTAAGACAGCAAGAACACAGCTAATAGGTGACCTCTCAGAACAGGGCCTCCTCTGAAAATAATAATAATAATAATAATAATAATAATGACACACAACCAAATACGTCATGTTCCAAAAGGCAGTATCCTAAACACCAAGGTTATTAGCCAGTACCTGACATTTCCACCTGAAATACTACATAAATGGAAAAAACAACAACAACAATAACAACAACAACAAAACAAAAAACCAGCACTTTGCATGTCAGTTACCTTCTAAACTTCTAAATAATACTATGGATGAGGACTCCGTAGTATTATTAACTAAGTGCATTCATTTTAAATTTTAAATGGCATGTTTTTTCACTAACGTAACACATCACTGTCTTAGAAGGGAAGGCTTAAGTGTCCCTCATTCCCACTTATCGCTTCCGGTCTCTTGCACATTCTTTGACTGTAGAGTTGCGGCCACACCCCTTTACACAGGTGCTACGAACGAATGTGTGTGAATGTGCATCTCCCTCTGGCCTGTCCTCTTGCCATGTGACCTTGGGGTCTGCTTCTCGTTAATAGGAACTAAGAAGTCCTTTGGAATGACCATTCAACAGTGGTGGCCACATTCCTTGGATATTTTAATGGCTTGCAATGGACACCGACGAGGTTAGGTGACAGCTCCCCATGGCTGACTTCTAATGGAAGGCACAAATATAATCAGTGCGTGACAGGAAATAAGTGTATGTCATAGTCACGAAGCCACAAAGGTCAAGTAGGAACAGATTTATAAAGATGACTAAATAGTCTTTATACATGCAATAGATAGTCACATAGATATGTAAGTTATTGCATGTGTGTGTACATATACAGACATCCATGTGAAAATGTACATATACATGCATACAAACAAGATTCATAAGAATATTTCATAAATAGTCAAAAATAGCTCACTGCTGCAGAAGGGAAGAGGTGCCAGAAAATAACACAAAGGTTTTAGGGTCAAGCTATGTAATTTGAGGCAACAGATATACAACGTAAGTGAGTTGAGACAAGGAGGTCCTCTTCCATAGAGCAGGGAGCATTGCATAAGTTCTGCTATGCGAAGTAATGCTGCACATTACCTCAAGTCGATGAAATACAAATTGCAGAAGGAAAAAAAAAGAGAATAAAAAAGTCCTTTTAAAGCCATAAACAGTTTTAAATGCTATAAGCTATGCAATAAACGTAGGAGTTTCTTTGCCCAGATGATTTGTTCCCCAAACACTGGAGACAAAATAATGAAACCAAAATACTTGCATAAAATATCCCTTTGAACCATAGCCGCCTCACACATATTTATCAACATTTACACCCTTTCCTAAAAGTGAAATCCCCTGGCAAGAAG